CTCTCTCTCTCTCTCTCACTCTCTCTCTCTCTCTTCTCTCCTCTTTCTCTAACTCTCCTCCTCCTCTCTATCGAGTGTACGTTTAGTACAGTTATGATTGTCCTGCTGTCGTAGCACATCGTTAGTGGCGTCTCATTGGTATTCTTAATATTTTGAATATACCGTTATAATTAACACATGTGATAATGTTCAGTTGTCTTGGATCAAGTCAGTGCGTATTCCGTTTGTGCCATGCGATACCCATGAAGATGGTGCGTGTGGAATGGCACAATCCATGTCATGATGGGCGTCTGGAGTGATTTATCAGCCTGTCTGTATCTGCGTCTGTGAGTGCGTGCGTACTTGCGTGGCATGCAAGCTCGCGTGTGTGCGCGTTGCGCGCAAGATACGTGTGTGAGCGTCGCGTGCGTTTGTTCTGTGTGTGTGTGGTGTGTTGTGTGTTGTATGTGTGTGGGTGTGTGTGTGTGTGTGTGTGTGTGTGTGTGTGCTGTGTGTGTGTGTGTGGGTGTGTGTATGTGATTGTGTCTAAGGAAGTCTCTCACTTCCCGTATTCCAGCGTTCTCAGTTTAGTTTGTGCGCGTAGTGGGCACCCGTTTTTTAAGGGTAGCGCCAGTGCGTCGATAGATAACAGAAACACAGTATTATGAAAACTACTGCTCGTGGGTCTATTTCAGCTAATCACACCCGAACTCTACGTACTTATACAGATGGTCTGCAAGTCCGTCAGCACCCGCTCGCGTGTCGCGTAATCTAATACAAGAATTTCCGTACCTAGAGAGGCGGTTCGTCGGAGGCGCTCGGGCGGGGTGAAGACTATATATAGGTCGGTGGAAGGTAGAGAGCGGAGATATGCTTGGAATAGGTGTAGGAGCTAGGCGAAACTTATGACTTGCTGCGAAAAGGATGAGAGGCCGAGTCAGTTACCTGGGGAATTAACCATGGGCAGATCCGGCCCTCGAGTCATTAGGTACTCGGAATGCTAAGGGCGTGGTGTATAGTGACTTCCTGCGGCGTTCTATTTATTATTTTATCACTTGGAGCAAAGAGGTGTGTTGTTTCTAGTGATTGCGTTTGGGGAATAGTGTGGCAGGGCGATATATTTACTCTCTGCGCGAGCGTGCGCTATCCTACATGTGTGTGCGTCTGTGCGCGCGCGCGGGCGGTAAAAGTGTGTTTGTATACCGTTTAGGTTTCATAAATATTTGTGTTGTGTGTGCATGTGTTAGTCGCCTGCGTGCGTGCTTGTACGTGCGTGCGTGCGTGCGTGTGCTTGTACCGGCGTACAATTTTCGAGCACACCCCTACCTCCGTCCGAAGCCTAAGCTCCTGTCTGCATTATGCAAACCGCATATATACATATATATAATAATATAATATATATAATATATATATATATATATATGTTCTATATATTTTAAATGACAAGAGTGAATAGTTTGGTTTGCTGCGACTGTTGCAGGTGTCACGGTGTGTTGTCGCCCGTGCGTTGCGCAGGCAAGCTTGGCTGTCCGCTACCAGGGCCGCGTGGCGCCTACAGAACCATTCTCTGGGAGTGCCAAGTATCGTAACCTCAAACAAGGCTAGGCTGGTCATTCATTGCATTTGCATTTCCTTTATTGTATGTAAGCGTGTATGTGTATGAGTGCGCGCAGTGGAGTGTGTGTGTGTGCGTGAGCGTGCGTGCGTGTGCGTGCGTGCGTGCCGTGGTGGCGTGTGGGCATGTTTCTAATGTGTGTATGTGCGGACGTATATACATTATATATATAGTATGTGTGTGTGGTGTGCTGTGTGTGTGTGTGTGCAGTGTACGTGCGTGCGTGCGTGGCGTGCGTCGTGGCGTGCGTGCGTGCGTGTGCGTGCGTGCGTGCGTGCGTGCGTGCGTGCGTGCGTGCGTGTGGGCATGTTACTATGTGTGTATGAGTCCGGGCGTGCGCGAGCGTGTATGTGCGGACGTGCATCGTGTGGTAGGATAACACATGCTTCATAGAGTGTCGTGCGGCGCTGGTGCAATAAGTCCTACTTTTCATCTAATCAGCACTTGTTGCGATTGGATGACACTATTAATTGTACGTGACAGCTTAAGCATGTCTCTCTGCAAAGTGTCAAAACAAAGTTAGTCTACATTAGCCTTAACGTTAGTTTTTTGCTCGTAGACCGGACTTCTACATACTATCGGACCAGAAACTAGTACAATTGACATTTGTCAACGGTATATACGAGAAAAAGTTAACTGTAACACTAACGCTAAGATTGAATCTTTGGTTCTGATCAGCGGGCCTAAATGCTTATAAACTTAATTTTGTTGCTGACAACGCCGCTCATGCGTACCACTACTAAATTATTACAGAAACATAATGTGTGTGTTGGGGCTTAAAACGAGGTTTTCCCAAGCATGTTTATACTAATAATAAGATGCCTTTATTTATTAACTCTGCTAATAATGCTCAATATCCCACTGAATACCGCTGACATATTTACATAATATCACCTCGATAAGCATTACATTGCCTTCGCGTTCCTGATATAAAACCTTAAAGCTTCAAACAAGTCCGTTTGGATAGGTACGTATTTGTGACCGCGTCAATGAAATATAAAGCTAGATCTAAAATGTCAACTTACCGTCTTTCATACATTTTCTTGGATAACCTATTATAAGAAAACACGTTTTGCTCGTTCAGCAATTTCTCTACGAAATGAAATCCTTTTTGTTCGCTAGCCGGACTAGTAAAGGAACCTCGTTTTAATCTATAAAACGAAGCGCTCAGGTGAAGGTGAAGGTTACGTGAGAGAGAGAGAGAGAGAGCGAGAGAGAGAGAGAGAGAGAGAGAGAGAGAGATTCAGAAGGAGAAGATTCAGATAGTCGAAAGAACGAGAGCATCGGCGTAGGGATGAGGTGATAAACATACCAAATACTGTTGTATGATCGAAACGTTAAACAACATAAAACTAGAAAGAAGGCACTCGGGGAGTGCGAATCCTCCGCATACGCGATCACTACACCTGTGATATTTTGTAGGCTGAGGTTGCTACTTGTAAATGGATGACGTTGACCTTGGTTTGTTTTTTGTACTGAACCGATCGACTATCTGCCTGTGCTTTTTGTTTTTGGATGTTTATGTGCATGTATGTATGATATTCATTGTGGGAGGTCATTTATTTATGGATGTCTTTTTGCTCCCTGGATTTGTTAATTTTAATAGAACAGAAATGCACACTCAGCCATACATGTAACTTGCAAAGCAGATATATTGATTCATGTTTAATGCACATTTAACTACATGAACAAGGAGGAATGTTAGACCTTGTAACATGTATACATTGTACAAGCAGTTAAAACAATGAAAATGGGGAAATTGTGTACGTGTATATCTGTATGAAACCTGCAAATGTGCAATGTGCATGCTAAATGCATAACGTTGAAGTCGTTGAATTTTTTCATCTATACTGACTTCTCGCTAAAAGACGGGTGAAGTTTTCCACCGCCGAGTGTTTGTTATTCATGCTGCGGACAGTTAGTTACACTGTTCAGCGTGAGGCGGGGATAATACGTCGCAGATCACGTGGAGTCAGGTATATATTAGGCGTATACTAGGTCTAGTAAATACGCCACCCCTCTTCCTCCTTCCCCTCCTCCTCTTCTCCTTCTCCTCCTCCGCCCCTTCTCATCCTCCTCCCCTTACCCTCCTCCTCCTCCTCTCCCCTCCCCTCCTCCTCCCCTCCTCTCCCTCCACCTCCTCCTCCTCCTCCTCCTCCTCCTCTTCCTCTTCCTCTTCCTCTTCCTCTTCCTCCTCCTCCTCGTGTCTAAGGCCCATCAGTAACCCCTAAGTACATCAATAGGATTTCAATCACGGTGCAATTGTGCGTAATACACGTCCGCCTTGACCCGCCATCTTCGTCATATTCAGCGCCGCGTCATTTACCGGTAACCGTCTCGATAAAAGTTCCTGCCAAATCGTATACGCAAACTAAGTGGAAACCCCGCCAGCGCTGCGCTATCGAAATGCTTTCACCAAAACGACTTCGTTAAAGGAAATCCACGTCAGCTGCCGTGTTGCGTGAATTCGACCTTTTGTCTCAAGGACGCCAGAATCAATATGGCGGCACCCCGACCACCGGGCGCAGTGCATACGCGAAAAATGCAATATGGAAATGAACGTACAATATGAATATCGGCGTGGTGGGATTTCTGCGCCATGTTTTTTTTACGTTTTAGCTATAAATCCTAATAATGCAAGCTCGACGTGCGTGCGTTGCGGGTGCAGTAATATTACGGGAGAATGACGTCGTATGCTCTGCTACCAACGCAAGGAATATTAATGCGATGCAACAGTTCACGACCATCGTTTGCCTGGCGGGATTAGAATAAGTGATGAACCGAGAGAGAGAGCGAGAGAGAGGGAGAGAGAGAGAGAGAGGGAGACATAGAGAAAGAGAGAGAAAGAGAGAGGGGGAGGGAAAGAGAAAGAGAGAGAGAGAGGGGGGAAAGAGAGAGAGAGAGCGAGGAGAGAGAGAAAGAGAGACAGAGAGAGAGAGGGGGGGAAGAGAGAAAGAGAAAGGGAGACATAGAGAAAGAGAGAAAGAAAGAGAGAGAGAGAGAGGGGGAGAGAGAGGAGAGAGAGCAAATCACATTCAGCTCGATTAGAGCTATTATACATCAGTACGACTCTAGCCTAATGAGACATGTGGTAATACATACAGCGAATTACCGGATTCTCGGAGCTGCAACTCTACTCACGAATGCTTCGCATCTCGACTACTAGCACTACCTGTGTTCGTGTCTTGTGTGTACACGCAATCTGTGTCGGTATCTCGACTACTGGCATTACCTGTGTTCGTGTCTTGTGTGTACACGCAGGCTGTGTCCGTATCTCGACTACTGGCACTACCTGTGTTCGTGTATTGTCTGTAAAGTTAAACGCGATCTGTGTCGGTTTCCCGACTACTGGCAGTACCTGTGTTCGAGTGTTGTCTGTACGCGAAATCTGTGTCGGTATCCTGACTACTGAGTGTGTAGGACTACATGCTTTCATGAGTGTGTGCGCGCGTGTGCAATAAGTCCTATATTTCATCTAATTACACTTGTTGGCGATTGTATGACACTATTATTGTACGTGACAGCTAAGCATTCTCTCTGCCAAAGTTGTCAAAAACAAAGTTAGTCTTAACATTAGTCTTAACGTTAGTTTTTTCTCGTAGACCGGACTTCTACATACTATCGTACCAGAAACTAGTAAATTTACATTTGTCAACGGTATATACGAGAAAAAGTTAACGTTAAGACTAACGCTAAGATTAATTTTGGTTCTGACAGCGGGCCTAATGTTATAACTAATTTTGTTCCTGACAACGCGCTCCATGCGTACCACTACTAAATTATTACAGAAACATATTTGTGTGTTGGGGGTTAAAACGAGGTTTTCAAGATGTTTATACTAATAATAAGACTGCTTTATTTATAACTCTGCTAATAATGCTCAATATCCCACTATAACCGCTGACATTTTCATAATATCACTCGATAGCTTACATTGCCTTCTGCGTTCCTGATATAAAACCTTTAAGCTTTCAAACAAGTTCCGTTATGGATAGGTACGTTTTGTCGTACCCGTCAATGAATATAAAAGCAAGTCTAAAATGTCAATTACCCGTCTTTCATACATTTTCTTGGAACCTATTTAAGAAAACCGTTTTGCTCGTTCAGCAATTTCCTACGAAATGAAATTCTTTTGTTCGTAGCCGAGCTAGTAAAGGAACCTCGTTTTAATTATAAAAGAAAGCTAAGGTGAAGGTGTACTGTACCAAGTCCAGTGTTACCATAGCAACGGTTTGTCTCGTCGTGGTATTAGAGCCCATGTGAAGAGCTCGTGAGCTGGCCTAGTGCTTGTTTGTTTTCCATTTACATTTTAAAAAGCTACGAAATTCTGTTTATTTAAACATGGGCACTCAAGCGCGTACACAGACGTGAAGATGCACACGCTTGTACGTACAAGTGTCGACAAACGATGCACAAATGCACGTACGTGTATGCCAGCATGCATGCGATCACCATCGAAAGAAGCTTTACCACAGTTACTGACCACGGTTTTAAAGATTTTGTCTTCTCTCCCAGGTTCCATCATTATGTTGCTAGGGTATTTAGTATTAACTAATCTGTCCCGTAAAACCTCGAATATCACATCACAAATATTGTGTTTTGTTTTAAAATTTTTGAGTAATTCCGGTCATCACTTCATATCTTCGAATTTCTCGTACTATATCTATCTCAGCTTCTAGTAATCTCTTTTAATTTTGCCTGGAGTACAGGCCAAAGTTGTCTTTAGATAGGTGCTGCCATCTCGTGGTTAGCGACGGCTTGTTACAGTGTAAACGTTTGAGTGTATTTGAGGTCGAAGCATGAAAACAGCCGACGGATTGTGCGCTGGAAATAGACAATAAATCATAAAAGTAACAGTTTAATCGCGTAAATAACCGAGTGATTATTAGCCTTTGTGTGTGTTTGTACCCATATTGAGCCACATTGAGTTCATTGATTTATACAGTGTAGAATAATAAGCAGTTCGCAAAATGC